AGTATGCATAAATTTAGAAAAGGATAACATATGATAAATACATCATATAAAAGAATATGTTATATGTAGTTATACTTGTAAACCACTAGAACTATGTCTCTATCTCATAAAAAATGTTACTTGCTCTTTTAAAGAGTTTATTACAACATCTTGAGCTTGCAACTGAATACCTTGAGTTTGCAATTGATCGCTTTGAGTTTTTAGCTGTTCCCTCAACTCAATTATAGTGTCTTTGTCTCTCATTCTCTCTTCATCTGAAACCATTCTTAAGTGGTCAAAACTATTACACATGAAGCCATGCTTGGGAAGAGGGGGCCCAAATCCTAAAGCTTGAACATGACCATGATGCTCTTTACCCATCACTTGAGAATAAATATCATTTAGTGACCAAGATATACGTCCACTAATATTTCCTTCGGAGCAACTTGGTTGTGACCTCATCAAAGCTTCTAGTTTTTCCTATAGCAAGAGTGATTGTTTGCCACAAAAACATTAGAATTTTGATAATTACATCATCCCTGTCGCCCATCTTAGCCTTTATTTATGTTGTTGTAATCAGGATTAGGCCTTTCAAAACTTTATGCTTCTTAAAAATTACACGCCCACATGTATGATATCCGAAATTGATATGTGATTCAAGATCACATCCATATTAATATAATTATAATTAAAATCAAAGTTAATAAGGTTGCCTCTACATTCTCACAGCTCTGTCTATAAAGTGTCTCAAAAATAAAGCCAAAAGGATTCCCATAGTAGATATTTCAGTTATTTAAATCTAAAGAGAATAATATACATTAGAATACATATACAAAGCCAAACCCCAATAGAAGAAAATGGAATGAACCACTAAGAAAACTGATACTTGAAAAAGTCATTTCTTTTTCCCAAAAAAGGATATACATGAACTATGCAACAAGCAACCTAGTGACTTATAATAATCCTGCATTTCTGTGAAATTATGAATAATTAAGAATTATATTAACAATATTTAGTTCAATTGATGGAGAGTAAAATGTAGCATTGTCAGATATCTTTCCCACCCAATCGGGAGAGCTCAAGCTCTGCAAGTAGCATATCTTGCAATAGTATTGAATTCAATTCCTTTTCTCCAGAACTACAAGGGCAGAAAGAAAAGGTTTATATTTGACTCACTCACACAAATTAAAATCATTCATGTAACAATAAATAGAAACAACATATCCTCCATTAGTTACAAAAGAGCAGGGAACATAAGACAATATGGAGAATTATAAAGCAACGAAAAATAAAATTACCACAACGATTTTCTTTTCCTTTTTTTATTCATGAATAGTAGATGTGTGTTTGTTCTATGTGTAAGCATCCACACATTGCTATACTGCACACATGGAACATACATTGTCACTAATTTAAGGTTGAATTATACCTCTTTATATTAGTTTTCACGGATTAATTCCATCATACCATGCATCTCACCCAACCTTGTTTGTAGTTTCCCAAATCTAGTTTAATTGTCACATTCTTAGTTCCATATCTCACTACAAGAATCCATCTAAAGTGTTTGCATATGACCACCACAATGTCACAATAAACTAACAACCCAATTGTTACCACGTATACCCTCACTATTAAAAATACCCAATGCCATGCACATCACATTCAAATCTTTTAAAAAACATGCGAACTGTATGTTTTGAATTAATGTTTGTCATTCTGTAAAATAAACTTCCTTGTTAACGTAAACTTTTGTATGCCCGCTACCAATATGAGTAACAAGACAAGAAATGCCACTAGAAGTGCTTAAGCACAACATCCAATATACAAATATATCCAATTGAAGAGATTTCATTTATAGTACAACAACCTAGCAGGATCATGACTTAAAAAGATCAAGAACTATATTCTAACTTAAAACCTTATCCTTCCTAACCTTGTTACTATTTAGTTATATTTAAAATTTACAAGATGTGATGGAAGAATCTTAGTGTATGGGGATCTTCATAAAATTATGAAATGATTGATCTCAACTAGCCCAAATTGAATCTACAAGTTTAAGTGGATCAGTCCTGGCTCTAGACTCTAAGCACACTCCGCAAGTTTATGTTGTAATTCTAACAAGAGTGCTCCCGTTCTGGTATAAATTTACTTAAGCCTTTTTTAACCCCCGTACACTAAAAACTTTGGAATCAAAAGTAAAAGGAAGGCAAAGGTCATCCAATTACATAAAGTCTTCTTACATTAGTAAGATCTGATTGTTACTCTTCAATCATTTAGTTGTTGAGAAAAGAAGCACAGTCCTATTTGTTTGTCTAATGTGACTTTGTTTAATTTGTAATTTTGTTTCTTTTTAAGTGGTGCAGCATATGTCAAGCACCACCCCGCACCACTTTGACAGCCAAGGGAACATCTCACATTCATTATGTATTCGAACAGACCAATTGAAGGCCTCAAGGGCAAAAGATTAGGTGTTCAAGCTCTCAAGTGAACCTAATTAGCCTTTTCACTTTATTTAATGGACTGTGGTTTAACATCCAGTCCTCAAAAAGGCTCATGGACCTCATACTCATCTGGTGCGGGAGAATAACTAGATGACCAATTTTCTAATTGAAAAAATCTTTATATCAGACAAATCCTATAGCACTGTAACTAGATGAAAATACAACCAACATATTTTGTCACTTTCTTTGTTATTTAGGATTCCTTGGTTTGTCTAGATCCTAAAAGGTTAAGGTTCTTCAACAGAAACCAAGCAATTCCTAATAATCACGCCCAACTTTTCCCTCATAAGAAAATGAGAAGAATTTTGATAAAAATTAAAATTTCTCTGAAGTTTCTTGTAGTAGTCAAGCTATTCTCTTGGTGCCTACCTCAAACTCTGAGGACATTCCACCCAGGGATTGAGTTCCCCCCTCCCCTCTTTTCTTGGTCCACTTTCTTCCATCCTTCCACCAGTAAACCTAACTTCACTCTCTTAATCATCATTTGCTAAATCATGATTATTTAGTTCCTTCTTCAGGCCCAACTACATGTTTAAACCAAAGCAAGAAATTCTAACCCAAGATAATTATTCATCATCATGTAATTGCAAACAAAAATCAAGAAAAAAAAATTAAGTACGCACCTGAAAATGAAATCAAGTGACAGCAACCTGTGGTGAATGTTATAATCACTACCAATGTAAGTCACAACCAAGTTACCAGCAACTGGGTGGGCCAGCTCCATGAAGTAGGACAAACCAATAAACAAAAAGGTAGGCACTATTACTCCATTGTGGCATTTTATCAAATATCTAGCATACATAATGATTCCTCAAGCATGAAATTTTACTGTGTAGCATCAACAACAATCCATTCACTTCACTAATTATATTGGTCAAAATATGATGATCAAATATATATATATGTGTGTGTGTGTGTGTGTGTGTGTGCGCGTGCGCGCGCGCGCGTGTGTGTGAGAATCTCTTAATCAGAATACAAAACATGCTAATCAATCTATTTTCTAAATTATTTTCCCAAATCAAAATCATTCAAGAAGTTCATGAAATCCTTCAAAGTAATCAAGGCAAGTATCTCATCTTAACAATGAATTCCATGGACCCAAACTTGTTCGAAGACAGTGAGGGAGAATGAAAAATAGAGGTAAGTAGAAGAAAGAGAGACGGGTAGAGAGAGAAACTGAGAGACCAGAAGATAGAGGGGGATACAGAAAGAGAAATAGAGAGAGCAGACTAACCTTGAAATCACAGTGGTGCTGCAGGTTGACATCGTCAACACGCAGTGGTGGAGGATGAACGAAGGCTCTGAAACTTTGCAAAAGAAGTGTTGATAGACTACGGCACAAATTGTAACAAGGAGTTGAATGGTTTATTTATTTATTTTTTTGGATTGAAATTCTGATATGCTATTTACGAAAAAAAAAAATTGATTTCGCGCCTAATGGTAATTTTATTTGGCGGGCCTTATGGGATAAATTTGGGATGAAAAGAAGTTTTTTAAATCTTGGTTCATCTATGAAACTGATGGATGTATTTAAATATGCCAGATATATTTAAATTCCTTATGGGATAAATTTGGGATGAAAAGAAGTTTTTTAAATCTTGGTTCATCTATGAAACTGATGGATGTATTTAAATATGCCAGATATATTTAAATTCCTTATGGGATAAATTTGGGATGAAAAGAAGTTTTCAGGATGGAACGCATAATGTCAGTCTCTCTGAGTATATTAACAGAGTCGTCAAAGCCATGTATATATATAGACAAATTGTGAGTGTATATATATAAGCAAAACAGTAAGACACTAGACTTGTTGAATTGGATATTTCTTCATATGCACATAAGCATCAATATAATTATTAATTTATTATTTCCAAAGCACCTCAGATGTAACTGCATCAAGCACAAAAATGTGTTTCTTGTGCTTTGTGCATGGGTTGGATGACGTTTATCCACTATCTCATTTGATATGCCACCAATGCATTAGTTTAATGGGTCATAACTTTCATGTCTTGTACGTTATAGCAATCCATTATTGATACATTTGGTAACCAAAATTTGGTCACTGTTGCATTCTGTTTCTCAGAACTTCAGAGTATTCTTTTAAATCTTAAATAGTGCATTTAATAATTGTTCACATAAATATGTATGCTCTTAATATACATTGTATTTTATTTTATTTATTATTACATTTTCGGGGTTATGTTTTTTTTTGGTCACCGTTGTTCATCCTACGTGTTGTCTCCTTTTGCAGTTTTGTATTGGCACCATAAAGGATGATTTCTTGGGTGTGATCAGTGATCCAGGTGTTATTTCTTAATGGAAGTGATATTCAATATATATCTAGGAGCCTTTCTCTCAGTTTGCTTTTAAGAAATGGGAGTGTTTCAAACTGTTGAATTATTTTTGTCATCTGCATACTTTTTTGATGTGTCCGGAAATGACTTTTTTGTTTATAGATATTATATAGATCATTGGAACGGAAATCCTTTGATATGCGTGCTGTTGTGTCTGCCACCGAAGATCTTTTTAAATTCATATTGTCTGATAAGGGTTTGAGGGTACGTGTTTTCCTGGTCCGGGACATAATTAAAGCAATTGATACTTTTCTTCAGGATGAAGTAGTAGCAAACATTTTCGATGAGAAGGTTCAAGCTAGAGAGAGCTGAATCTGAGGTTCGTTTCAATTCCTCCATCTCTCTCTCTCTCCCCCCTCATGTGCTGGTGCATGTTTTAGTTAAACTCTACAACTTATAGATAATAGAACATCATTTTGATGCGGTTTAAAAGAAGTAGGAAAGCCAAAACATGAATTAGGAAACCCAAAAAAGTTGTTTTCGAAAAACTATTTTCATGCAAAAATTAAAGTGTTATATGAAAATGTTAGGTGTTTTCGAACTTTTTGTTATCTTGTTTTTGAAAACATGAAAATGAAAAAACAAAAACAAAATCAGAACTGAACATATTTCAGTTGGTAATATTGTCATGAGATCAACTATGAGAATTAATGTTGTTTTGCAGGGACATGCAATGCTGATGAGAGTGGTTAATGGGCTTAAATCTTTCCGGCATGCAGTGAAGTTGGCCCCGGAGGTGTGGACTGCTATGCTAATCCGCATGACAGTGAAACCCGAGGCTCACAAATTTACATTTGACATCATTTCAGCCTTATTGATACATTTTAGCCGAAAAATTCCAGAGACCTTTTGGATTTGTATATCTAGAATTCTTCACAAGTTGGTGAAAAATTATAGCCATGTCGATTTATGATTTAGGTGGATTCTTCATTTGCTCATTTTTTTTCTCTAGCTATTTATTTATTTGAGTGAAACTATTTGTCTGATGCAATTTTAAAGATTATATATCTGAGTTTGGCTCCGAAAGTTGAGTGATTGTAAAATACTTTTTTTAGTAGTGTTTGTAAAATATTGAATTTGATGGTTTGATCAATTTAAATTTTTATTTTTATTTTCTGTTATGATGTTTTTGTGAATAGAATGTAAATAATCAGAGAGAGACGGCACCACCGTCGGAAAAAATAGAAAATTTTAATATTTTTATTAATTTTGTTACAGGTTTTACTTTTTGCGACGACATTATACTGTCGCAAAAAATAGAAATTTTATTATTTAAAATAGAAATTTTATTATTTTTTAATGTTTTTTGCGACGGCATTACACTGTCGCAAAAAATAGAAAAATTCATATTTTTTATATTTTTTGCGACGGCACCACACCGTCGCAAAAAGTAGTGTTTTTTTTTTAAAAAAAAGACTATTGGCGACGGTATTTTTTGCCGTCTCAAATAACATTTTTAGCGACGGTAAAATAGAGCCGTCGCAAAAAAGTCAAGAAATTTCAAACGTTTTTAGCGACTGCACGGTGCCGTCGCAAAAAGGCAAAAAATGCCGTCGCAAAACATTAGCGACGGCACTTACCGTCGCAAAAACTCTTTTGCAACCCCTGCAGTTGCGACCCCCCTCTTGCCGTCGCAAAAAGTCATTTTGCCGTCGCAAAAAGTATTAGCGACGGCATTAGGAGTATTAGCGACGGTATTTTACCGTCGCAAAAAGTCAATTTTTTTGTAGTGAATCCTCCAAGGCCTGAGATTGATTCTTTAAACACAATTAGGTATTTTGAAGAATGTGGTGGCCATTTGCTTCTCATCCATTCACATTTGCACTCTGATATGGAATTCAGAATCCTTGACATGGACAAAGATGCTTATTGTTGGACGGTGAAGTACCGGATCAATATTAGTCCCTTGGAATCTGCATTCCGTGACATAGTTCACGGTACTCGAGTTTGAGTATTTAATTTTCTAGCTGTTGTGGAGGGAGCAAATAAAAATGATTTGGCAGTTGTGTTAGGTATTCCTTGTAGCGATTCCGATTTTGACCCGGTCAGCTTACAGGGGTCGAGCTGTTCGGTCAGCTCGCCGAAGCAAAAATGCAAAATGCATTTGAAATTGCTTGAGCCGCACGTGCGGAAAACAGGAGAAGGCCTGTTTGGCTACTGCAATAAATACAGATGCGGGAGTGCAAGTGCGGAAGAAGCGCCGCACGTGCGGTGGAAGGTGAGTCCGAAATTTTGGTTTTTTCTTCTCTTTAAGCTGAGTGTATCTCACTCTTGTTAGGTCTTTCTCTCTCTAAAAATCCTTTCCTCTCCCTTCTCTCTACATTTTTCTATGCCAAATTGGATCAAAACCTGGATTTCTCAAGATCCATTAGAGTTTTGCCATAGGTTCTTCATCAAAGTTGGTTAACTTTTTGAGGGCTTCGTTGTGTGCAGTGAAGATCGAGTTTCAACACCGTTAATTTTGGGGGTTTCATCTCATTTCTTCTTTAAAATTTAAGGTAGGGATTTTCTTAGAGTTATATATATATATATTTTTTGCAAAATCTATATGATTTTCGAAATCATCTTTCGATAGCTTTAAAAATTGATTGTTGATTCAAGAAGTTGAGCGATTTTGAAAGTGGGTTTGTCTCTTTTTCTTTTAAAATGATTTTATGGGTTTTGATCTTCGTTGATTGAAGAAAAGATGATTTTGGAAAGTTTTCTTTCAAAAGATTTGAGTTGTATAGTTTTGGTGAGAAAACCTAGAATTTGGAGATTTTTTTTAAGAGACTGAAAATCCATAAATGATATTGTTGTATTTATTTTGTGTGTCAAAATAAATAGATGTTTGAAAATTTTCTTATTTATATTTATATAAATGATGAATTTCAAGGAATATGATAATTATTGTTCGTTTTGAAAATTATTGTTCAAAACGTTGAAATAGTCTTGAAATGACTAATTGTTGAGAATGTTTGAGAAGAGGGAATTGTGTTATTTCTTAGATGATGAATTGGAATAAAAATATTTATATTCATCTTGTGTTATTGGCATATCAATTCATTTGATTATATTAAACTTTGAAAGTTGATTTGAAAATTTGCATTGAGAAAAGAATGTTGAGAAACAAGTTTTCATGAAATGGTTTGGGGGTAAATACGTTGGTAAGTCTTGATAGGTGGTGTAGATGATATTGAATAAGTTGGCCTGAGAGTCTGAGGTGAAAGATTGAAAATCCGCGTGGATAGGTGTCGAGCCTTCCGGTTAATACCGGTAAAAATGACAAATTGATAGTACTTTGATAGTCTACTTACAGACACCGACCTAGGGATTACCAGAGTCGCATTTACCGCTCTTGAAATGAATTGTTAAGTTTTGAAGAATTGAAATTGCATAACATCGCTGAGCATGATGGTTTTCAAAGATGAAGATGTGATTTTCTTTAAAAAAGGCATAGCATGGCATGTGCATTTCATCTCTTGGGACTTGTATAAAATGTATATACTTTGTTAAGGATTTCCTACTGGGCTTTACGTTCACCCTACGAGATTTTTGTGTAGGAAAAGATGTGGTGATGCCGCCTAGCTAAAGGCGAGGAAATGTGTATTGAGAGTACGAGACTCTCATTTTGCTGTGACTCTATGTGTAAGCCAAGGGCTGTATGTGTGTGGGTTTGAATAACCGTTTTGTGTAACCAAGCTCAAGCCTTGGAAACTTGAAAACCCTTAGGGGTATTTATTTGTTTATTTATTTGTTGTTGGATTAATGTATTGTTGCATAAAGAACTATTGTATCATGTAATGTAAGTTTGGAGATTTATATTCGGGTTTTCATGAAAGAGCCATGATTGTTGTATTATCATTTGGGTTAGAAATTTGGGGCATCATAACTTGGTATCAGAGCTACCGAGTTTGAATACTTGGAGCTCGTGAGAAGTGGTTGTTTAATCACAATGGGTTCATTTAGCATGATTAGAAAGTGACTATATGGGTATGGGACTGGACTTTTGGGATGTTGTTTGTGCCTGTTAAATTCCTTGAGGTCTCATTATAAGGGTACTTGATCAATACTCATTCTACTAAGAATTCTTAATTTTTTGTGGGACAGATTTCATCATAAAAGAATAGTCCGTATGTGTTTACATGACTAAGTGCTTATGTGGAGTGAAATTGAATTGTGTATATGGTAGAGAAATATATGGAATTGTTGTAGTTGAACGTGTGAGTCAAGTTACGAGTACATATGAGTTAATGTGCTAAATTATTTCTCTTGTGTCCTTTATTAGGATGTCAGGAAGGGATCAAGTCCGTGGTGGTAGAGGCTGGAGGAGTGGTAGGGCTTGCCGAGGTGTGTATGAAGTACCGGTCCATAGGGTTCCGATACAAGAAGAAGGGTTTAGCTAAGCTAATATGGCCGAGCAAGCATGCCAAGCTGATGTGGCTGAGCAGGTGGGACAAGCGGGTCAAACCGTAATGGGGGCCCTAGCTCGAGAAATGGAAAGGGCTTTAAAAGAGTCTATGAACTTGTTAAGGGTGAAGAATCAAGCCCGAGAGAACACTGTGGAGTCAAGGGCGAGTTTCCTTACAAGAGAGTTCTTGCGGGCCAAACCGAATGAGTTCCATGGTGGCCCCGAGCCCAAGAAAATGGATGAGTGGCTCGAACAAACTGTGAAGACATTTGAGATGCTTCACATCGAAAATAGTGAACTAAGAGTGACTCTAGCGAGTTACTACCTTAAAGGAGAAGCGGGTCAATGTTGGAAATATGCCAAGGGTAGAGTGAAGCTGACATGGGAAGCCTTTGCGGTTGCTTTCCAAGATAAGTACATGCCTCCCACTACTAGGGAGAGATTGAGGCAAGAGTTTAAAGACCTCAAACAACTCGATATGCCCGCGGCCGAGTTTGAGGCAGTCTTCTCTAGTTTGTCTAGATTTGCACCAGAGTTGGTGGCAACGGAAGAGCATCGTTGCATTGAATTTGAAAAGAAATTAAAAACAAAAATTATGTTCAAGCTTGTTGAAAATATGATTCGGGAATATGACCGTCTTATGGAGACGGCGACACACGTAGAAATTTCCATACAAGTTGATGAGGAGAGGCTTCGGAGTTGGAGATCTAGGGGCCAAGAGTCTTAAGGGGACTATAGACAGAACAAGAAGAGTAGGAACACCTATCTATCCCAGTCCCAACCATAGCAGCCTAGATCCACTTTTCCTTTGCTTAGTGCGGGTTTGGGAAAAAGTGCATCGAGTAGCTTCTCGTGTTTCAAGTGTGGCCAACTGGGTCACAAAGCCTTCTCATGCCCACCGAAGGGAGGAGGGCGGTTAATGTTACCACCACCTAAGCGATCTCAAAATCAGTCTTAGTCTCAAAATAAAGGTCGGGGGTTTAATTGTTATTAGTGTGGTCAGCGGGGGCATATGAAGAGAACTTGCCCACAGTTGGGAGGCACATCTAGTGCATCAGGGTCGAGGCAGACTCAGAGCCACCAACAGGCTCAATCAGTCCAAGCTTCGCGAGTTAATCAGGGAGCCACTTCGGCTCATTCAGTACAATAGGCCTATGCTCCGAGAGGGGAGCAAGTTAATCAGGGGCCACAGGGGCGTGTGTATGGTGTTACTGTGCCGGAGCAATTACCAGAATCCTCGATTGTGAGAGGTATTTTTGTTGTGTGTAATTCTTTGGCTAATGTATTAATAGACACGGGTGTGTCTTATTCATCTATATCTACTGCATTTGCTTCTACATTTGGGTTCGAGGTAGCACGGTTAGTACCTCCACTTAGAGTAAAGTCACCTGTTAGGGGTACAATTGATTTAGACCGGGGTTGTCGTGATTGTGAAATAGAAGTTGCCGGGCGTCGGCTTTCGTTTGCTTTTCTGTTGCTAGATATGTCGAGTTTTGATGTCA